TTCAGAAGAACTTGCGATGAGAACGTCATCTAAGTATGCGTAGCAAAAATCTAACCCTCGAGTAACGTTATCTATAAATCTCTGAAAGGTTTGTGCAGCATTCCGTAAACCAAAACTCATCCGGGTGAATTCAAATAATCCGAAAGGAGTTATTACTGCAGTTTTTGGAATGTCACGAGGTTCGACGGGAATTTGATGATAAGCACGTACTAAGTCAATTTTGGAAAATATTTTTGGTTTTTGAAAACTTGAATAAAATTCTTGAATATGTGGGACAGGAAATCTATCTGGTATTGTTACTTTATTCAGAGACCTATAATCTCCTACTCTCCAATCACCACCTTTCTTGGGAACAACATGCAAAGGGGATGACCAACTACTAGCAGATGGACGTATAATTCCAAGTTCGAGCATATGGTCAAATTCTGTTTTGATAATTTTCAGTTTTTCAGGAGGTAACCTGCGAGCACGAGCATGCACTGGAGGACCCGTTGTTTCAATGCAATGGGTGATATCATGTTTAACTAGGGAATAATTAACGTTAACCTGACTCAAAGATGGAAATTCATTCAGTATAGATTCGTACAAACATTCTGAATCACCCCGTATGTGCATTAGTTGACATAACATAATATTCGTTGATTTACATTCGATATTGACATTTGTCAAATTATCTAGCAAACGATTATTTGAAACATCAACTAATAAATGAAAATGTCTTGAAAAATCCACTTGAACGGTCGTTTTAAACCCAAATCTAATGTCATGGACCGAAAACCGTATGTATGAATTTTACTGTTATTAGCTGCTTGAAGGAATAATTTTGATGGTGTTTTATTGATAAGGAATTGAGCAGGAAGAGCACTAACTTGACTTCCAGTATCAATCAAATACCTATTACCAGATAACCTATCCTGCGTGAAAAAGAGGCGATGATCCTCAGTAGTGCCAACAAATTCAGCCTCATTTGATTGTTGGCACTGGAGTTTTCCGATGACCAAATACATGGGGCAATACATTTATGTGCTCGATGTCCATAACGCTTATGGTAGAAACAGTAGTTCTTATTAGCTGAAGGAGACCTGCTTCTACTATCAGACTGCTTCCGGAATGGTGAACGATGCGTTAGTTGTAACGAATTAACCAATTCTCGTAGCTCTGACAATTCCTTCGACAATTTCATCATCTCTTCTCTATTGGAACATCTCGTAGTACAATTATCAATGGCCGAATTCTTCATTACATGGGAAACAGAATAGGAATCTAGAGAAGTTTCCATTATTTTGTCTGCAATTATTGCTTGAGATTCTAGCGAAACTTCTTCACCAAGACTTGCTAGAATGGTTTTGACACTGCTGGGAAGTCTCTGGAGGAAGATATGTTTCAGAATAGACTTGTCAATTGTATTTGCCTTCTCGCCCAATAATTTTTGCATACGTCGAAGTAACTGTGAAGGTGTTCTATCTCCTAACTCTTCGACGCATAGAAGCTGCTTCAACCTTTTTTGATCGGAAATCGAGGTACGCTTAATAATTGCGTCTTTCAAAGTTTCGTAAGCATTCATGTCAGGTGGATTCAGCAAATTATCTCTTACTTCAGTGGCTAATTCAGGCGACAACGAAGATAATAAAATATTATATTTCGATTTATCTGAAGTGACTTTCCTTGTTGAAAATATTGCCTCAATCTGTGTGAACCATATGATCGGGTCATTCGGCCAAAAATCTGGTAGCTTGAAATTGATGCTCGAAACTTCTGACGATGTAGAATCATTATTGCTGGGTTCAGACATGTCGGGGTCACCAATTTATAGGAGTAAAGATAATTATTAAGATATAATCCTATAATGAATAATACCAAAGATGTACCTTTTTGGTAATCAAAATTATAATGTTTATTAAATCGTCATGGTTAAGACATCTGCAATTACATCACTATGATAACGACTTAAGATGTAGGTATAACATGTGAGTAGCCTACAGACTGATCACCTTTTTTGACGAATTTTTCTTAGTGATTTCGATTAGAAAATATGACATAAGCATCATTTCTACGTAATATTGGTACTCTTATTTAAAGAAGATATTTTCAACCGTTTTCGAGAAAAACGCAATTGAACAGAGGTATATTAGACTCGAAAACCAAAGCTATTCTGTGCGAATCTCTAGTTTTGTCACATATCACCTATTGCGACATATTGTATGGGCCTTGTCTAACGGCATTTCAAAATAATAGGCTACAAAAATTCAAAATATGTGCGTTAGACTAATATTCAACATCAGAAAATATAAAAGGGGAGACAAATTAAAAAAACTGATGTGCACAACATATATATTAGAAAAGAGATAATCTAACGGTACCACAACATAATATCAACTTATATCATAGATCATTTCCTTACATGGTTTGCAAAGTTCTGAATCAAATCCCACCGGAAATTTAAAAGATGCCGATATCTGCAGCAAAATTCCAAATGAAAAAATCGCTCCTGAACAAATGACTGGTCCCTGATTTCAAAATCTAATTCGTAATTCTCTTATTGAGAATATTCCGATGTGAATTTATTGAGAAAATATTAAAGATTAATTAGATAGGTATTCATTAGTGTGATTTGTATATAGGTATTTAAAATAATATATTAGTATGGTGGTTGGTGTATGATTAAGTATAGCTGTATTGAAAAACAGGTCTTCATCCCTTTCAATAGGTGTTTAGAACTGAATATAGCTTTTTTGATGAGCTGAACATTATAACATTTATAATTATCTTTTCTCTTTCCTATATATTTTCAGCTTATTGAATAAATTTATTTTTATTATTATCATTATTAACAGTTCCAAGTCTAGGAGAAGGATTTCAAATATTATTTCATTTATGAAGAGTGTGCTTTGGACTGTCAGATAATTGTTGCTGGTGAATTACATTTCTTGTCAATGAATAAACTTTGGTGCGAGTTAATAGTCAATACTTTCTCGATTGAAACGCTCTCTATCTTTTTCCACAGCAATATTTTATTGGGGCATATTTGGCCTATCGCCATATTTTAGCCCAACCAATTCGCCGTTAAACTATGTCCCAATAATTATGACTCAACCGGTATACGATGAGGTTGTTCTCCGTTGCTATAGCAATTTCTCTAATCCTATATCACTCCTCTATTATGTGTGCTCCAAGGTTTCTTGCACTTGGGTTCTGTAGGATGACAAATTCCGTGAGTATGTGGATAGGGGGTTCTTCCTATTCCCCACAGAACCTGCAGTCGACTTCAATCAGCAGTGCCCTGTTAAGACTCCCGTTAGTATATGAAGTTATTTTTACTTAGGCTGAGATATGCGTTCGATCCTTTGTGGTTATATGTACCCAGTAGTATCTTAGTAGTAGATCTCTGTTTAACTTCGTTTTTTCTCAATTTTTTTCTGATACAGTACTGCAGCTGATCCCGCAGAAGGGTTCTGGCTCCATGAGGGGTGTTTGCTTTCCTAGCGAGTTTGTTCGCTACTTCATTTCCTTCTACTCCGGAATGTCCCGGAACCCATAGAAGGGTGACTGGATTTCTGTTGGCAACCTCGTTCAGTATTTCCCTGCATTCTGATAACCATGGAGCTCAGCGCTTTGATGACTGCATGACTATCTGATCGACGTGTATGTACACATTTCTCTATTGCGTGAATTTCCGCCTGAAATATGCTTAGGAATTTGCCAAGGCTTTCGAAGTACTTGGTACGAGGCCTATAAACTGCTATTCCAGTTCCATCTTCGGTTTTGGAGCCATCTGTGTACCACTTTATGGCTCCTTCTTCGAGCTCAATACCCTCATGGATTCACTGTTCCATCCATGTTTGCAGCTCAGCCTCGTGGTAAATTGTTTCACAAAGCTTCATCTCATCCTGAGGCAATTTCTGGATTTGCTGGTCAAGTAGACAGGTTGGTCTGCCTTTGATCATTCATCGATCATTCTGTATGCCGTTCTTTTTGCCGCATTCTCCACAACTGAATGTAGGATCACGGCAATGGGACCCGTTTGCATAGCACTAGTAATGCATACACAAGCCAGTCTTTGAACTTTCGTGAGATTAGCCTTTGCGGAGGCTCGACTAGTTCTGTCTCCTTAGACCACCGCTCCCTTTGGGATAATCGGGCTCTCACTGCTGTGTGCAAAACTTTTGTGAGTTTTGTGGCCTTGTTGATCACTTCCTGTTCGTGTTTACTATAAAAAAGTTTTTGGTCCAGAATGAGTCATAAGTATTTTACCTCTCCATTCTATTCTGACAGTTTTGACAACACTAGTACACAACACATTATGTATATTTATTCATTTATTAATAAAGAAGTCGTGGAAATCCGCACATTCATCGAGAAATTAGCTATATATGTTCTCGATTTTCAGATGATTGGACCATGTTCGTCAGTAAATCTTGAACTCTTCGGCTTAGCCATATTTATCAGTGAAGGCTACTGCAATATTGAGGAGAATAATCAATCAATCAATCAATCAATCAACTTTATTATTCCCAAGAAATAACATTTGTTTATAGCAGGGAACATAGTGAATACATAAATATATTTGACAAAATAAAATAAAGAAGACAGTAAAATAAGACTCACACTCAAAAAGAATCTTTTTTTTTCAAGTTCAAATGAAAATAATCCTCAATTGACTCAGTTGTTAGGTACACAATTGAAAACTATAGTAGTTGTACAAGAAAACTATAAAAATGAGATAAGATGTCAATATTACAGGAGAAGATGTTTCTTGAATTCTCTTTTAAATGTTTCAATCCTATTAATCAGCTTCAAGTTATTTGGTAGTGAATTGTATTGTATCATTCCATTGTGATAGATGGCTTTTTTACCAATATCTGATTTAATTTCATCGACAGAAAAATGATCTGCTTGTCTGGTTGTATTTTTGTCACCACTCAGATGTGTATGTAATTATCATTTTTTCAAAATGTTTTACCCTCCGATCTTTATTGAATTTGAACGCATGATAGACTTACCAATAATATCTGTCAATTTATATCTTGATTCTCCTTCGTCTTCTATTAAAACAGCTCGAACTGAATTCTGAGCGCTGACTTTGGCATAATCTTCGGGAGTGAGAAAAATATACCTGAAATAAATATGAACGTTTATTTTTTTGATTTTTCTAACAACCAAATTACATACAATATTTTATGAACGATCGGTATATTCAATTTTTTATTGTGTATACCTTTTCACCTCTCAAGAACGATAGAAATACATCATGGCTGCAGTGAGGAATATCATTGATGGAATCATCGTTACCATGGTAACTCAGTGAATTTTTTGAAATAGGAGTAGACTATTATATTTGCTGACAATTTATCACAGCTAACTAATGTTCCGTTCGATCCTATCATTTTGCATCTCAGAAATATCAAGAGACATTATATTAGATTCATTGGATACTATTAGATAATGAACCATCACAACTAGAACATAAATGTCCTGAATTATACAGGAATGCATATTACGAGTTACCTATACGCCGGGCGAAGTGATAAAGTGCAACTTCAGGCCTGGTCGTACATAATATATTAAATGCACGATCGGGCGTAAAGTAGCACTTTACCTCCCGGTTTTGCAGGCGTAAGATGGCACTTTCCCGCCCGGCGTATAGGTCACTCGTGATAGGCATTCCTTTATGATTCAGGACATTTATGTTTCTGTTGTGATGGTCCCTTAGCTAATATTACAGTTCTTGATATTTCTAAGATGAAAAATTATATGATCGAACCCAAAATAAGTTTTGAAAAGGAACATTCTCAGATATATTTATGAACACACAAAAAATGGATATATATATATAAAGAAATACATTGAGAATTCGCATTCTCCATGTGATGAAAACATCAGTTCTTTCACGGTTTATTCAACAGAAAACAACTACTTTCCTGGCTATTTGCCACGTCGAACATTGAATTATATCTGTTGAATATCCAAAAAGAGAGCATGAAAGATCAAAATCCTCTGAAATTGAGAATCATCATCATCTAATCGAATAGAATAATATGTTGTATTATGATATAAAAATATGACCGATATGTTCAGTATTGAAATGAAAATTGAAATGTTATCTGTGATGACATTAATTGACAGTAAATATAATAGTCTACTCCTAATTCAAAAAAACTGACTGAGTTACCATGGTAACGTCGATTCAATTTTCCATCAATGATATTCCTAACTGCAGCTATGATGTATTTCTATCGTTTGGGAGGGGAAGAGGTATTCACAATGAAAAATCGAATACACCGGTCGTGCATACAATGTTGAATGTATTTCGGGCGTACCTTGCTTTTATGGACCTAGGTGTGTTAATACTTATAAGCTTTTCCATTAAAGCCTATTTTACGCCCTTGATACATGAATAACTGTTATTTGCTTAGGTAACTCATTATTTTCAGAATAATGAAAATCGGCACAGGTTTGTTTCAAGCGATTCCTCTTGAGAATTAATGTTGTTAGTTTTTGTGACAAAAATCCCTAATAGTACTTTTTAGAAGTTAAGGCCATGAAAATGAGTAGGAATTTACGATCCCTTTTCACTGACACATGACAGAAGGCATCATATGATAAGTGAGAGCTAACAAGTGGCAGATGGTATTTTATTATGACAGTTGACAGCTGATAGTTTGATGACACGTGATAGGTGCCATGGAACACATTACCGCTATTGAGTGGCCAATGGCCTTTTTGACCAATCAGAGGCAGCCATTCAGCGGGAAATACAAATGCAAGTCAACAGTATGATGCCACAAAAGCTAGGTCATCCACTTGTTGAATGTCCATTCTAGATACCTATTCAACAATAAAAGTCAAAATCGACCAAAAATACACAATTTAGATGACAGCATACTGGGTGACACAGTGTATCGAGCCACCACTGTATTCGTGAAGGGATTTTTCTGACATTTGGTACAGTTTATAAGCAACCATTTCGGATTCGATCGCATTACAATCCAATATGAAGCTCCGTTTTTTTCGGAAATATCGGCAACTTTGTTACTTCAAATGGAACACTTTGTATATATGTTTAGATATTCAAGTTCAACAGGTCAAAACAAGTGCAATCATTATGTCAAATGTGATTTCCAAAAAAAAAAAAATGGAAACTAAAATTAGTTTTTTCAAATCAAGGCTATTCACAATGACTCTCACATAACAGAAAAACATAATTCTTTCACAATCAGTTGACAAGATTCAGAGATTTTGTTTTCCACAGCTTATACTTATTAAAAATTATTCAAACTGCAAGGAAATTCATGAACTTGTTGACTTTTTAATGTTAACAATTTGTTACAGCACCGAAACACAAAAATGATATGATATTTTTTTCATCAGCGTATGTTCTAGAGAGACATGTAGGTAGCCCATTTTTCCATTTGAAAAAAAAAAAATATTTTTGAATAAAATTGATTCAAATGACACAAAACATAATTTTGCAGAAAAAATATGTTTCTCTGTTATTTGCGACTCATTGTGAATAGCCTTGACAATATCTCATTTTTTATCGACGAGGTGAAATAAAAAAAGAATTTAAAATTGAATTTTTACGAAAAAATTACATTTGACATAATGATTGCACTTGTTTTGACCTGTTGAACTTGAATATGTTGAAATATACAAGGTGTTCCATGTACAGGGTGTTTCACAGGTGAAGGGAAATATCTCAATGGTACATAGGGGTCACCAAGGTGGTTCTGAAAATACCATATTTGATAGGTCTTAGAATCTTCATAACGGAGATACAGGGCGATTTATCGATTTCGAATGATTATTCATTCGTTTATAAGTATCGAATTACCCAGTATATTCTCTTCCAATTTAGTATGGAGCTTATACTTGGTACGTTGAATTCACCTATCTGGCGGAGTGAAAGTCCAGGTTCGGCTTCAGGAAAAATTTCCATTTATTCAAAATATTAAAATAACACACTGAATGTAATAATTAACCGAATTGATCAAAGGAATCTTGAAGAGGAGAAAAAACTGAATTGGATTTGATGCATTTCATTTTCCCGCCACCAATTCTCATCGTAACAATCATAAACAGAAAGTTGAAAGTATGTCAATTTGAAGAATATTAAAATTATGAAACCAGTTCTAATTATGATTATTTGATATATTTTAGTTGAATGATCGCTCGAAATAACTCACTACTAAGTATCACAGTCTTTATAACGGAGATACAGGGTGAATTATCAGTTTCGAATAATGATTATTCCATAAGTATTGAACTACCCAGTAATATTTTCTTAAAACTTGGCATGTCCCTTACTTGGGAAGTTGGATTCATTGACCTATTAGGCGGAATGGAAATACAAATTCAACTTCAGGAAAAGTCTCACAGTATTTATAACGGAGATACAGGGTGAATTATCGAATTATAATTATTTGATATCATCTAGTTGAATAATCGCTAGAAGTATCAAATCCAATTCAGTTTTTTCTTCCGTTCACGATTATTCTTTTGATGAACTTTGTTAATTATTAAATACAGTGTGTTTTTTTATATTTCGAATGAATGTAAATTTTTCTTGAAGCCTAACCTGTATTTCCATTCCGCCCGATAGGTCAATGAATCCAACGTCCCAAGTAAGCTCCGTACCAAATTTGAGAAAATATTACTGCGTAGTTTAATACTTGTACGAGTAAATGATTATTCGAAACCGATAATTCACCCTGTATCTCCGTTATGAAGACTGTGAGACTTTTTTTCTGAAACTGAACCTGTATTTCCATTCCGCCTGATAGGTCAATGAATCTGACGTCCTTAGTAAGCTCCATATCAAATTTGAGAAAATATTACTGGGTAGTTCAGTACTTATGGACGAGTAAATAATCATACGAAACAGATAATTCACCCTGTATCTCTGTTATAAAGACAGTGAGACTGGGTAAGTTCATTCGAACGATCATTTAACTAAAATATATCAAATAATCATATTTGAAACTAGTTTTATTATTTTCATACTCTTCAAATTGATATACTTATAACATTCTGTTTATGATTGTTACAATGCGATTTGGTGGCGGAAAAACAAAAATCATCAAATCCAATTCAGTTTTTCCTCCTCTTCACGATTCCTTCGATGAACTCTGTCAGTTATTACATACAGTGTGTTAATTTAATATTTCGAATAAATGTAAATTTTTCCTGAAGCCGAACCTGGATTTTCGCTCCGCCCGATAGGTGAATAAATTCAACATCCCAAGTTCAAGATCCATACCAAATTTGAGGAAAATATACCGGGCAGTTCAATATTTATAGACGAATGAATAATTATTCGAAATCGATAAATCGCCCTGTATCTCCGTTATGAAGACTCTAAGACCTATTAAATATGGTATTTTCAGAACCACCTTGGTTACCCTTATGTACCATTGAAATATTTCCCTTTACCTGTGAAACACCCTGTATAAAAACGAAATTGCTGACATTTCCGGAAAAACAGGAAATCCGCCATATTGGGTTGAAATATGATCAAATCTGAAATGTTTGCTTTTATAACTGTACCAGATTTCAGAAAAATCCGTTTACAATTGCAGAAGTTACAGGGGTGTCCTGATACTCACCCAGTATACAGGATACTAATTGATTGAGGGGCGAGAATACAAGCTGTGAACCTCGGGTGATTTTAAGGAGGAAAGTTTATATCAACATATTTCCTAAACCTCTTGGTTATTGAGTTACAGGGTGTTAACGTTTTAAGCAAAAAATTAGTTTTTTATAATAATTTTTCATCACTCTTAGGATATTCTAATGAAATTTTGTACACAAATTTTCTAATCATCGAGCAGCATATTTTAACGTAAGATATTTTTCAAAATTTTCACCAGTGACGTCCGTATGGGGTTTGAACTGACAATTTTTTAAGAAGAAAATGGTACGCCACGGATTATTCTAAAAACCAAAATTATTTTTCAAATCCACATTCATTTTGAAGCAAATTTGGTTCCTAGTCTTACTTTTATACGACTACCAGTTTCGTGTGAGAAAATAAAAAATAACAATTCCTTCTCTTCAGTTCATTTTGATTATTTTTGGTATTTTGTTGAAATTTAGTAGGCATCCACTATGAGTGGAAACAAATTTTGTTTTGGGAGGAAAATCCTCACCCGAGGATTTACACCTTGTATTATCGGCACTCAATTAATTAACACGTTGACGAAAACCTATTTAAATGAGGTGTCTGGTCAGAAAAAGCAATTTGTTGTTTTTGCCGAATTTGAACTAATAGTAGGCCATTTTTTCACACAAAAAACAGAACGACAGCTATGTCAGTATTTTTCTGCCAGGCAAGACACTACGCATTTTTTGTTTCACTTGGACACTTTACACCATTCTACATGTAAACTCGAAGGTGCCTTACAAATGCAAATAATACAAGGACGGCATAGGCATATTGAGTGTCCCAGCAAAGGGTACACTGTATATGTTGTTAGTGTTAGTTCTAATTACCATTATTACAGTAAGAAAATGAACAATACCTGAAACCTCTATCGGGCTCTTTGTTATCTTCCCAGGCTACCTTGAACAGAGCTTTCACTTCCTCAGCCATTCCAATTCTAGCCCCGCTGTTTGCTGAAACATAGATCCTTGGTATCTTCAAATTTCTTGCAATCTCACTAGCCAAACCAAATACCTAAACAATGAATACAAAATTTTGGATTATGATATCCGGGAAGAATTTATAATGTTTCAATTATGAAACAATAATTAAATCTCAAAATAGTTGATATACTCCTTAAATATCTTGACACTAGGCAAGAACACCAATGCGTGAATGCAAAAATACCGGCCAGGAAAAAAATTTGCTCAATTGATCGCCCTGTAACTTTTTCAATTCTTGACCGATTCTGATGAAATTTCGACCATATCGTAGATTTATGTTTCGGAGTGTTAGCCTGAATGTTAATACTTGAAGAAAGCTGATGGCATGATTATTACAGGGAGAAACAAAAGTTACTCTTCCACCCTTGAATTCTTAACGCCCTGTGGGAAAAGTGAGCGATTTAACTTATTATATTTTGGATTGAAGTGTGCTCATTTCTCAACACAATGGTTTTTGCATCACGTCAATATCTCATTTATAAGAGAAGATAGGAGTGTTTTAAGAAAGTATGGAATTTTTCAATTTTTATTAACAATAATTCAGAACCATTCTCCAACCTTCTGCTTCATCATGTTTTGTATTGAAGTGTGATCCCTTTTCGTCCCTTCCCAACACAATGATTCATGATTCATGTCAATATATTGTTTTTAAAAGAAGATCCAAGTGTTTAAAGGAATATATGTTTTTTATCATTATTTTATTTTGTTTTATCATAATCACGTGAAATATCCATTTTCATTTGGTGTTAAAATATCAATTCATTCACACTGACAATAGTCATTAAAGAACTCTCATTCTTCATCATATCCATCCGAGGGATATAGTCGAAATTCGGCAATAATTCGGCCGACCGAGAAGTTCCTGATAGGACGGACGTTCAGATATATGATCAGTATCAACTCATGACTCGTTAAATCAACTCTCGTGAGAAAAACTCGCTCTCTCTCTCTCACTCAACTCTCATTTTTTTCTGTATTGGTCGCCATTACCGCGATTGTTCGGGAAATTCGTTATAGAAATCAGTGTCTCCAACCAAAATCATACCCAACCACGTGAAAAGCTAAGGAGACGGCCGGCTGCAAAGGATATAAATTCCAGGTAGGTCCGACACTTGGCAGAGTTTTGACTTTTTCATTGAATTCAACTTTACTTCATTTTCTCATCAACCAACACTGATACTTGACACAATATGAGAGAAAATTGAATTTGCATGCATTCTCTATGCCTAACTCAAATGTTTTCGTAAACTACTATGGAAATAGTTATTTTCAGAGAAATCGATATATCTTGAAAACTGCGATAGATAAGTTAACAAAATTATGTATGTATGGAATTTTTCAATTTTTATTAACAATAATTCAGAACCATTCTCCAACCTTTTGCTTCATCATGTTTTGTATTGAAGTGTGATCCCTTTTCGTCCCTTCCCAACATGATTCACGTCAATATCTTGTTTTTAAAAGAAGATCCAAGTGTTTAAAGGAAGTGTAGAATTTTTTAATTTCCATCTACAATAATTCAGAACCTATGAAGCATCTTTAGGATGAACTCCAGAGGTTCAATCGCCTTCGTCCGACCTTGTGAGAGACTCTTCAAGAGCTACGATTAGCCCTTCGAGGAAAATTTGATCATATTATTGATGAAAATAAATATTTGATTCATTGTAAATATGATAACATAGCGGATCGTTCCAATTTTCTTGAATTAAGTAGGGAAGTACCTATAGTTCCTATCTACTGTTAACCTGATTTGTCTGTTAGGTTCGAGGAAAAAGACTATTGATGTAAATAAAAAATATTGTGTTAAGAACGGATCACACTTCAATACAAAAATTGTAATCATTCACTTTTGCCACAGGGCGCTAAGAACTCAAGCGTGAAATCACTTTTTTCTCCTGTATAATGATCAAGCCATCAGCTTTTTTGGAAACAAAAATTCAGGTTTACATTTCGAAACATGAATCTACCATTTGATCGGAATTTCACCAAAATCGGACGATCGGCGATCAATTCGGCAATTTTCTTTGCAGGTCGTTTTTTTTTGCCGGTGAGTGTTCTTTAAAAAAACACCATTTTAGAGTAGATAGAGACAGGAGTGTTCAATCAGCATAGCAGGCAATTGTTTGAGATAGAGAGGCAATAACCGCAAGTCCACTAACGTCACACGCAATGGCATGCAAACCAAATCATAAACAAAGAGAAGCCATGACATGTCCACTGACGGCACCGTAGTGAGAGATAGTCAGTAGAACCTGATTGGTCAGCCGCCCGATTGAACACTCCTTGTGTATCTACTCTCCTTGGCGTGAGTATGAATTTTCCAATGTTGCCAGCTCTATTATGTTTAAGGAAATATCAATTAAATATTTATCACTTTATAATGAACCTCAAATTCTGGCGACATCACTTCAATATCTATGTCATAATATGACACAGTCCAGTGTATTAGAAAACAAGAACAAATAAGTTTTAAATTGTCTTGCACACTTCATCCATGACATTGTTGAAATCAGTTGAAACGTAAGTGCGATGAATTTTGAAATATCCAAACAAGTAAACAATCGGTTGAGACGGCAACGCTGTTTATTTCACTGTGAACTTGTGACGTCAGTACCCCTGACGATCGTGTTCCGTCGTGTTCAAACGGGAGCATTTCTTTGGGAATTCATTTTGGGAAAACTGAGGAATTAAAAAATCTAGAAAATTCTCTGTGCCTTTTCTCATCGTGACGAGCTTCATAGCATTTTTTCTAAAAATTAGTGTTCTTGCCTATTATGTTTAATCAAATCAAATTCTTTTAGCTTTTAATCAAAATCGACTGACGCTGACGATTTTCCGTCGTGTTCCAACGGGGGGAGATCAAGAAGGTATTAATAATATTAATGACTGGTACTGGTACTGGTGGGGGACGTTTTCACGTCAGCAACTAGTCCCCAATGGGACCTTTTTGCCAACCCCAAGTGTTTTCAATGACTGATGTGGTTCGCTCAAGAGAGCTGGCTAACATCCTTTTCAGGCACCGCCCATCAGCTCTCTTTTCAGAGTTTTTCAGCTGTGTTTTGTAGGCTAGTAATGTACTCACTACCATATGCGCAGTGGCAGGCCTGCTAACTATCATCGTTAACCCCCGAGACCGAGGTCTACTTAAGCAGCTGGCCCGCTCTCACGCTCAGCTGGTAGTTTTTCCACACCCACCTACATACACCGTCCTACTTCTTCTCTGATGCTCACAACCACATCATCATATCTTTCTGCGTGTTCTGTTTAGGCTTTGTTACTAACTCCATGCGCCACTTTAGGAGCAGCACTGTTAATTGGAACGCAACAGCGAATCGTGCAGGACTATCCCCAGCTGATGCTACGAAACTTTACAATATTTAATTCGTAAATAAAATATTGAAAAAAGTTCCTTGCCCGTGCTGAAATCGAACCCACGACCTTGCGGTCGTGAGACGGACGCTCTTCCACTGCGCCAATCCCGGCCCAATAATATTAATGAACGTCATAGTATTTTTTTCAAGAAATTAGTGTTCTTGCCTATTCTCAATTAATCTAGAGGAATAAAAATCATTGTATTGTATTGTTCTGGATAACTTGCCTTATCTTCCCTAGGTCCGAAGGATCCAATTAAATGCGTTATGTCATTCGAAATGACTATAATGTCTCTACCCATTGGGTACTCTGGAGTGAAAAGGGTCAATCTCCATGCCACCATTCCGACATTATTTTCACCAGGCACCCTTTTTTGTTCGATCAGCCTTGTTTCGGTGTCTGGGTCGAGAATGAGCTCGACGAAATCCATCAATTTGTCCGGAATATTAATAGATTCTGCAATAGGGAAGGACACAATCTCGTCAATTCAGTTGATGTACAGGGTGGCTGGAATTCGAACTTCATCATTGGAATGTCGTGAACCGTAAGAGATACAGGGTCTGTTAAATCATGACAAAGTTGCGCAATTTTATGCCTAACAAAATGCCGTTTTGAAATTTGAAAAATTCCGAATACTTCCAAAGATTTTTGTGAAAAACCGAATATTCGCGATTTATTTTTTTTATGTACGACAAACTGATATTCATCATACAGGACGTGGAAAGAAATTCTGAATTGGGAAAACCAAATCACGAATCTGCAATTGAAGGTCTATAAAAATAACAAGTTTCCATCGTTCAAGTTTGAATCCCTTGATTGGGTGAACGTATTAGAAATAAATATTCTGAGATAAAATTATGAACCTTAAAAAGTGGATATATATACAGGGTGATCCACGGTGGATGGCCTATTAGAAGTATTTGGAGAACGAAGAGACAGAACATCCTGAAAATTGGGTTTCTTCGATAATTGAACATTCTCTATCCGTCTAAAATATTTTCATCGATACAGTGTTGCCACTTCTATCAGCAACAACTAGCAACTTTGTTATTTCAAATGGAACACCCTGAATTTTATTGCATTTTTAGATTCTTTCTGAAGAGCTGATTTCATCAATGTATCACACTTGGGGTCTAGCAGGAATGATTACAGAGATATAGGGTGTTCAAAATCGAGATTTTTCAATTTTAGGATTTTTTTGTGTCGAAACTATTCATTATCGATCAAAACGGCTTACATGTCACTATCTTAACTTTTGATTGACTATCTACTGGAATTTGATTGGAAAAAATACAGGGTGCTTCAAGATTCAGAATTCTGATCACCCTGTATCTGTTCCAATTAAATGTCAGTATATAGAGAATCGAAAGTTAAGATAGGGACATGTAAGCCGTTTTGATCAAAAATGAATACTTTCGACACAAAATAATCCTGAAATTGAAAAATCTCGATTTTAATCACCCTATATCTATGTAATCATTCCTGCTAGACCCCAAGTGTGATACATTGATGAAATCAGCTTTTCAGGGAGAAGGTGGCCAGGTAGCCGTGCGGACAGAGTGTCTATATTCTAATTCGCATTCGCTTGCCGGTCGTGGGTTCGATCCCCGTCGACTGCAGAAATTTTTCTGATGGCCCAAGAAAGTGTTTGGGATCACACGTTAAAAGGTAAGGCCCCCGCCATTCCTTGCTCGCACAAGACTTTCGAAGACTTTTGAGGGTTGCTCGTAAGGGGGCAACCGAATGACGGATAGAACAAATTTTAGAACAAACAAAAATCTAAAAATGCAATAAAATACAGGGTGCTCTATTTAAAATAACGAAGTTGCTAGTTGTTTCTGATGGAAGTGGCAACACTGTATCGATGAAAATATTTTAGACGGATAGAGAATGTTCAATTATCAGAGCATCCCAATTTTCAGAATGTTCTGTCTTTTCGTTCTCCAGATACTTCTAATAGGCCATCCACCGTGGATCAGCCTGTATACAGGGTGTCCCATAAGTAATGAATCAAAAGAAGTGAGGTGGTAGAGGGGGTCATTTGTAATCAAACTAACGGTATATATTGTTATCAAATTTATGATGGTTCAAAAACTATTCAATTCTTCTGAAAAATGCGACCTATTCGAAAAAAAATTAATCACAAGTTTGCTGTTTTGAATAACCCCCATTCGTTATAATCGTCTTAAATATTTCATTCGATAACAAAATTCAAGGAAAACAACATTTTTCTCAGGTAATTGATAAGAAGTAATACATGTCATAAAATTATTTCTGGTGGAAGGTGCATCCATGTGGATGAAATTTGTAAAAGAAAAAATTACAAATGTGACATAGCTTAATTGTGATTAATTCTTTTTATAGAAATGAGAAAACATCAACAATTGGATAACCACATATACGGTTAGTTGGATTCGAAATGAACCCCCCTACCCCCCCACTTCTTTTGATCCTTGAATTATGGGGCACCCTGTATATATAAAGAAATACATTTAGAACTCCCATTCTCTATGTGATGAAAATATCAATTCTTTCTCGGTTTAATCAACAGAAAACAACTACTGTCCTGGCTATACGTGGCATATATAACGCCCTGCGTCAATTTATAGTATTGGTTAAACAAATATATGTTTTTTATCATTATTTTATTTTGTCTTCTCATAATCACGTGAAATATCCATTTTCATTTGGTGTTAAAATATCAATTCATTCACACTGACAATAGTCATTAAAGAACTCTCATTCTTCATCATATCCAATTATTCGGCCGACCGAGAAGTTCCTGATAGGACGGACGTTCAGATATATGATCAGTATCAACTCATGACTCGTTAAATCAACTCCCGTGAAAAATACTCGCCCCATTACCGCGATTGTTCGGGAAATTCCTTATAGAAATCAGTGTCTCCAACCAAAATCATACCCAACCACGTAAAAAGCTAAGGAGACGGCCGGCTGCAAAGGATATAAATTACAGGTAGGTCCGACACTTGGCAGAGTTTTGACTTTTTCATTGAATTCAACTTTACTTCATTCTCTCATCAACCAACACTGATACTTGACACAATAATATGAGAGATAATTGAATTTGCATGCATTCTCTATGCCTAACTCGAATGTTTTCGTAAACTACTATGGAAATAGTTATTTTCAGAGAAATCGATATATTATCTTGAAAACTGCGATAGATAACTTAACAAAAATTAGGTTTTCTAAACTCAGAATTAGAAGGTCAATCGATCCGTGTGAAGGAAAATGTATGTTTCTATTTAAAAATTCAATTTCTATGTAGGTAAATATAAATATTTCACGCCTAAAACAAATGAAGAAATTACAAAACAGGGCAAGTGAGTGCATTTTTCATCTGATTTTTTAGAATCAACAAAGAATTAATACAAACCTAGATATTTTCTGAATATGATTTCGTTATTTAAACTCAATACGGTCCATAGTTATGGGACTATACAATTGAATTGATTTATAGCAAATACATTCAAGTCAAACATTGGTAAAAAACCGGTATTTCAGAATTTAATTACCAAATTAGAAAGCTGTAAGAGTAAAATGTATCAACTGTTGACGTTTTTCTATCTTCCAATAAAACGTCAGAGAATGAAGAGAAAAATATCAGATGGAGTTCAAATTATTATTGAAATAAACTACTCAACACTAATTTCGTCGCACACCAAAATGTCGCCCCTGTTATAATGTGAATAACTTTTTTCAGTTTGAAACAATTTGAATTTGGTTCAGACTGTTCGAGAGCCCAGTCCTTCAGCTATAATCTCGTACTTCATTGAAACATTAGGGTATTCACATAAAATCTCTACATGGTGTTTTCCGACACTGTGCAAAATTTCGGAATATTCAAAAGGCTCTCAAATGGTGAAACAATTTTTTTTCTCAACTTCGACAACAGAGGCATGAAGATGATCTCATTACCTCGAGATATTTCGCGAATCAACTTCCTATCTCTCTTATTTACAGAGTGATCTCAAAAAATCAACTTTTTGGTTTTGCAGCCATAACTTTTTTCCACGTCAACCGATTTCGGAAATCTTAGGCTCATTTTGAAGATAAAACTTCAGATGAAGAGATCTGAATATCAGAATTGACTCAAGATGGCTATCAAAGATCTAGAGTTTTCTTGAAAGTGACCCAAATCTGGAACGCCCTCCGAATCTCGGTTGGGAGGAGAATTGAATGAAAATCAACTTGTTCTCGGAAAAACAATTCATTCTGGATGCGTCCATATTTTCCTCGCTCCATTTCTCCTATGTAATGCATGGCCCGTAACCAACGTTACAAGAATCACAGTAAGTGACTGACAAGTCATGTTAGACGTCGTTTTCGAATCATAAACAGATTTTGATAGTTTCGATGCCGCATCTTACGCCCGACCAGTTGGAACTGATTCCAAAAATAAGGGAACAAGGGTTATCTTCCCTCCAAATCGCGGATCTGCTGAACACGACAGTCCGATCCGTTCAGAGGGCTTATCTCCGAGATAATGCTGGGAATATTTTGTACCAGTCGAGGGGGCCAAGAAGGGGAACAACGAAGAAAACCACTCCTGCTCAAGACCGCCTCATTGGGAGAATTGTACGGCGAACCCGGACTTCAACAGCCTCCAAAATTCGTCGGGATTTGATCGAGGCTACTGGTGTACAGGTTTCTACTCAGACAATCCGACGCCGTATCCACGATCTTGGATTACAAGCAAGGAAACGAGCAGCCTGTCCCTTATTGAAACCTGTACACCGAGAGGCAAGGCGATTGTGGGGACAAAGACATCAAAACTGGGGAATAGCAGAGTGGAATAGGTGTATGTTTACGGATGAGAGTAGGTTCAATTTGTTTCGCAAAGATGGGCGTGTGTTGGTATGGAGAGGAAGAAATGAAAGGTTTATGGAAGAAAATATGGAGGCAAGGGTGGCTTTTGGAGGTGGAGGAGTGACTGTGTGGGGTGGAATATCGATGAATAGGAGGAGTGAATTAGTGATTCTGAGAGGAGAGAGTATGAACGGTGAGAGGTATAGAGATTTGTGTGTGAGAGATATCGTGGTCCCTTACGCTGCAAATGTGGGTGACAACTTTGTTCTCGTTGATGACAATGCGAGACCGCATAGGGCTCGCATTGTCAGCGAGTTTTTGAGGGATCACGGCATTGAGCGAATGAACTGGCCGCCTATGTCTCCAGATATGAATCCGATAGAGCATGTTTGGAGTCGTATGAAACTGAAATTGAAAGAAAGAGAAGGGCGAATGGAAAATTTGGATGACTTGGTGAATGCGGTACAGCAAGAATGGACAGCTATTCCCCAGGAGTTTATTGATAGGCTGATAAACAGCATGCCCGATAGGGTCAATCAAGTGATTGCCCAAAGGGGAGGACCCACTAGTTACTGAATTTTATTTTTGTTTGATTTCTCATATTGTTATTCTCATTTTGTTGTTGTTCAATTAAAATTCAATGGAATTTGTTGTCTTGTTATTGCTTACTTACACAATCAATGCTTCACTATTGAGAAAAAAAATCGCTATTGTATAGGGTTTCCCAACAATAGCACCGGATTTGAATATGCCAATATGTTATGTACGTGACAACTGTTAAAAAAATCACATTATTAAAAAAATCAAAATCCGTTGCTCTTGTTGGTACACCATTTATGATGAGCCTCAGCTGGTCGGGTTTGTCAGTCACTCATTGTGATTCTTGTAACGTTGGTTACGACGGGCCATGCATTACAGAGGGGAAATGATCTAATGTTTTTGCAAGAACATGTTTCAATTGTGTTTTCTCACGCACAATTCTTGACTACTGAGAGCGAGGAGAATATGGACGCATCCAGAATGAATTGTTTTTTCGAGAACAAGTTGATTTTCATTCAATTCTCCTCCCAACCGAGATTCGAAGGGCGTTCCAGATTTAGGTCACTTTCAAGAAAACTCTAGATCTTTGATAGCCATCTTGAGCCAATTCTGATATTCAGATCTCTTCATCTGAAGTTTTATCTTCAAAATGAGCCTAAGATTTCCAAAATCGGTTGACGTGGAAAAAAGTTATGGCTGCAAAACCAAAAAGTTGATTTTTTTAGATCACTCTGTAAATAAGAGAGATAGGAAGTTGATTCGCGAAATATCTCGAGGTAATGAGATCATCTTCATGCCTCTGTTGTCAAAGTTGAGAAATAATTTTTTTTCACCATTTGAGAGCCTTTTGAATATTCCGAAATTTTGCACAGTGTCGGAAAACACCATCATGTAGAGATTTTATGTGAATACCCCTATGTTTCAATGAAGTACGAGATTATAGCTGAAGGACTGGGCTATCGAACAGTGTGAACCAAATTCGAATTGTTCTAAACTGAAAAAAGTTATTCATATTATAACAGAGGCGACATTTTGGTGTGCGACGAAATTAGTGTTGAGTAGTTTGAGTAGATTCGAAAGCGGATGAATTTTCCATTTTTTCTACTATGAATGAATTTGGACGACAATGCTGTCTAAGGTTGAAACTTAGATCAAGACAAATTGTTTTCTACGAATCAACAACGATAGGTACTATACTAAAATCAAATCATACCTGATATTCTCTCTTTACTGTATTGCTTCCACATCAAATCCACCATTTGCCTGAACATATCGGGAACATCATAAACATAAGTCGTGCCGGCAGACTGGGCTTGAAACCTCTTCTGTTGCAAATAATCTTTCGGAATATAAGGCGTAGATATGGGCAATCCGTGAAGAGGACCTTGCTTAGTGCCGTACGCCTGGAAACTTATGATGCCCGTTTCTGGATCCACCACTTCCGTGTACATATTAATGTCCAGATAATAGCCGCTATCGTTGGCAATGCAAAGGCGGATAGTGGTAATTTCCGCATTGGGAGAGGGCCGTATCACTAGTTTGATTTCTGCTTGTAGTACACGAAGTTTCCACAGTCGAGGACCGTATCTCATCACTAAGCTAGTCACAGCTTCTTCAATCTGGAAATTATAGAAGAAAAACATTTGTCGATCACTTCGTGAACTTGGATGGAATTGACTCAATCATGAGAAACAGCGTGAAAAGGCCAAAAGTGCAGTATCTAGAGTCAAACACTATGATTAGACAGCAACTATTTATTCCGAATGTTGACAAGTCTGGCTTTGTTACAGAAAGGGGAAGTTTCCTTCGGATGAATTTTTATCTATAATCTATAATGACAATTGAAATTATTCAAATCATTTCTATTTTCGGACTAGATCAATTAATAGATATTTTTGTATCTAGAGCGCGAAATGCTACTTCGGTGATCGGGATCTGATCGGCTACGCCTCGTTAAAAAAATAGTCGAGATGACCAAAGTATTTCGCGCTCGAGTTGAAAACATTCTTTCTACAAACGTCAAAAAAAAATAGTTCCAAAGTAAGAATATGCTTAGCTTGATATAAAAAATAGTGTTGAACTGGCTTAAAAGGCCTTCCCCTATCCTTCCTAGGTACGCACGGTGTTCCACGAACATAATAGGAATTTCCTTTCGTGCGCTCCAAGAGATAAAACAAAGTTATTGTTGAACATTCAGAAATAAATAATTTCGTGGATGTTTGCTCGATTGAGGACCATAAAGTTGAAATACTTTGAAGTAGCGATATAAAAATTTCACAAAAAAAAATATAAATATCTCATATATTTTACATAACAATGCGCGAAGTAGTCCTAATTCAAGACCTAACTTGATATTGCCTTAAAAAGTATCCATAGGTGTTCATACACAACTTAACGTAGTGATGAGCTGTACCAACACTGTAAAATGTTGTGACTGAAGGAGTACTGCTGTACTAAACTGATGAGCTCACTGTCGTCAACCATAATGTTATAAATGAGGTTATGGATTATTAAACCTAACTATTTATAATTTCTGTTCGCGATTTGCACGAAGAAATGTGAAATTAAGTTGAAAGTTGGCCAACTTATGATTTTTTCAAGTTACACTTAAACCCTCAAGTTGCGTGCATGAACGTTATCATCGATTATTCGAATTTCAACTTCTTAAAGTTAGGGTTAAGTTGTTAGGACTAAGTTACGTTGTGCATGAACTCACCATTAATTGTGAATCGGTCACGCGGCAAAATTTAAAGTTTTATCTGTCAGTTTGCAGATACCTAGCAAGTTTGGGAAAAACAATACTGGTTTGTCTGACTCGGTTCGTTTCTTTGTCGCAAATATATGTGAACCCTAACCAAAAAAACATGAGATTTCAGAGAGTGTCGCCGCATACTTTTCCGCACGATTATATCGGGGGTACCACGAGAGCTCAGATCTAGCCTGATATTTTTTGTGGTTGTTTTCGGAAACTTACTTCCATTGGCAATTCAACGAGAGCTGTTCTGAAAAAATAATCACGTATTTTTTGTAATCTTTCCCATTCTGTTTCTTCATACTGAAGCCCCAGTTTATCAATATTCCTGCCACATTTTTCATTGACTGTTTGGTTTCCATGTTTAGTTGTTTACAAAATTAGCTAAATTGGTTCCAAATGGAGGAATTACTTCTTTTGTATTATCGGGAGTTGATTTTTTAAATCTCCTTTACTATTTCTGCCTCGAAAATATTTCAAGATCTCCACATACCTACTGGAATATCATTTTCTGTTATTGAAATTTACAATTGTCAAACTAATGCGACCGCAACACTTGATGAACGAACAGTAAATGCTAGCGTTACTATGGTTACGCGATTTATTCGACTTTTTCATCCACTTGCATTTCTGTTATTTCCTATTTGAGTGAAATTGTCGATAAAATCTTGCGGAAAAGATACTTTACCGCACTAGTGCTGAAGAGTTACTTTTCCGCACATTTTGTACTATTGAAAATGAGCATATTTAGGACTAACTCAATGATCTATGTAACTATTCTGTCTTATGTGTCATTTTGTAACAAACATTATTATAAAATATTGTTTATTGAAAACCTTTCTTTTTCATAAATATGCGGAAAACTATTTCCATAAAATTTACGGAAAAATAAAAATCCCAATATAGAAAACTTCCCCAATCTTGATTGCCAAAATAGTGTGGCCACAAAAAATTGAGGACTGTTTCCAAAATATACGGTATGTTCCGTATACACTGTGTCCATAAAGCCACCCCCCCCCCTGGTTAACTATTGAACGGATGGGATTTTTTTTTCAATTTTTTTTGCTTCAATGGTAGTTTCAGTGCTACATATTGTTCCAAAAAAAAATATGTATCCTCCAAAATGGCGCCTGGGCGCCATTTTGGAAGATTTTTTTAAATGGAGTGGGGGGTCGAAAGATACCTCGATTGAAAGGTCTTTCGATTCTCTATACAACCTAAAGTTTGAAATCTCACACCAGAATTCATTCGACTAGATGGCTATTGAAGTGCTCGCATGTGATCTTCAAATCTCTATTGGCGTATTAGAAGAGTTCTCTATCTATGAAGATATCAATAGGAAGCCATTTTGAAGAGAATAACATGGTAGTCAATTATTACCTTTGCTCGATTGTCTTTCCAAATTCTGCAAAATTTTAGAAATATTTATTCAACATAAAGAACAATGTTTATTCCACGTGAATAAATAAAAATCAAATCAAATGTTCGAAATGTCCACCATTCACTTCTTGACACATGAAGAGGCGATTTTGGAATTCACGTCTTACATTTCCAAATATTTCAGGCGTAGTATTTCTACATGCATCTGTTATGCGTTGCTCTAATTCATCTATCGTTACTGGTGTTCTGTACACTTGAGATTTGAGATGACCCCATAAAAAAAATCTAAAGGGGTCAAATCAGGTGAGCGAGCTGGCCATTCAATAGGACCCCTCCTACCGATCCATCTTTCAGGAAAATTTTCATTAAGAAATGCTGTTACTGGCCCATAGAAATGAGAAGGCGCTCCATCTTGTTGAAAAAAAATATTCTGCATATTATTTCCAGCGACCTCTACTATCTCTGGATGAATATCTTCTTGCAGCATCCTCAGGCATCGAACTCCTTTCAGATTTTCATGATAGAGAACTCTTCTATACGCCAATAGAGATTTGAAGATCACATGCGAGCACTTTAATAGCCATCTAGTCGAAAGAATTCTGGTGTGAGATTTCAAACGTTATCATCCGCCATTTTGTTTTGGATGAATATTTTCGTCTGAGATTCTGAGGTTGTATAGAGAATCGAAAGACCTTTCAAGCGAGGTATCATTCGACCCCCCACTCCATTTAAAAAAATCCCAGGCGCCATTTTGGAGGATACATATTTTTTTTTAGAAAAATATGTAGCACTGAAACTACCATCGAAGCAAAAATAAATTGAAAAAAAAAATCCTATCCGTTCGATTGTTTACCAGGGGGGGGTGACTTTATGGACACAGTGTATACTGGTCACCTCATTCACCTGCTGAAAACTGGAAACAAGTTTTGTTAGAGTTTTGTACGACATATTTCAAGATTGATGACGATAATATGTGCTGACTGGGCTTGTCGAGTTCGCCTGACTGGTGGGAAAGATGCGTTTTGATGTTCGTAATTCAACACCTGAAAAAACCCAGACTCAAAACGAAGGAAAGAACAGAACTTTTGAGTTAGAAACATGAACAATTAAATAATTCCCATTACCTATACCAGCCATATAAATGATAGTGAAATAAACAGAAAACAATGAAAACTCATCCTCAATTTAAGTTTTGCAGGATTTGAATGGTTGTTTTTTTGCAAATAATCTTCAGTTTAATGTTGGTAATACAGTTTCAATTCCAGTTCGATTTACGAGTATTTCACTTGAAGAAGTTAATGTGTTACCAAAAGATATCGTAATAAGTAATTTATTAAGAATTTTGTGTAAATTTTATGGCTTATAGAGTTTTTACAAATGATTCTGCTTTATGAGTAGGGATCTGCACTTCTTCCATTTTCCGGTTAAACTTGAACAACTGTGAACACAAAGATTCCATGTACTTGGAACATTGTTTCACGCTGGATGAAGCTTATACACTTACTTTTGCTGGATCCATTATCACAGTAGGAATGAAATTGAGGAATATATGATTGCAATCTGTTCTTTTAGATTGCGGATGTGAAAAAGCAATTTCAACTTCGTCCATTGCTTCTAAAATACTTCTTTCTCCTTCATTCTGAATGTATTCGAATGATGCCTCTTTGGTTATAAGATCTGAATGACGAATAATACTTCGGATGAAGAAACGGTAGTCTGTTATTTCTTTGCCACCTGCACCCTGAAAAAAAAATTAAGACATGATTGTATCATCTCTACAGAGAGGTATATCGAAGTTTTTAGACTGATTCGACGTCACAGTTCATTAGGATTTAGTAAAATATTGCAATTAGTGCAATTGGCGAACTGATTCAGCGATTTTCGTTTATGAAGGCAAGAATAATTAATTTAATTACAGAATTCTTGTTGATGACGAATATCTATTGAGAACTTATAATGACATATTAGTTCCTATTCCAATTTTATAATCAACAGTCTATTCACGATAGAAAATGATACGTCGCCCTACCTGGCGGAATTATCAATTTCTTTAATGATGCCTCATCTTGTCCTCTTACAATTTTATAATTTTATCAACATTGTAACCAACCTTACGATGATGAAATGCAAGATTTCTGGAAGCTTGTACAGGGTGAACAACTAAGAACAGCTGTCATCAATCATTCTTCCAACTTTGAATGTTATCTTCCGTTAGCGAAAAGTTATGTTGCTGTATTCGTTGGTCTGTTGAGATTTAGTTTCTTTATTTCATCGTGAAATAATTTGCATACCATTACATTTATTTTTTTTTAAATCACGATATAAGTGGAAGAACAGGAGCCCCTCACGGAGCATCCTCAACTTCGCCTTTTGAAAAATTGAAATTGATTGTATTTTCTTTTTCTGTAATATCAAGAATTTTTCAATTTTGCCCATTTTCAATTAAGTCATCATTATTATTATTATATCCATTGATACTTTAGATCACGCCCTCTAGCAGCAACGGTGATATGAATATGAAACCAATTAAAATTACATTTGATAGATCAGAAAGATGATTTTACAACACTTTATTTTTTGAATGGGACGAAAAGTAAGAAACAAAAGAAGCCGTTTTGTCCTTTAGCGGATATTTTATAAACCGAAAAATATTTTCCAGCTATTTTTTGGGGCCACTTTCTTTAAGATATATATTTTTCAAAGTTGTACCGTTATTCGTTACTGAGATATGGCCGTCAGCCGTTCTTAGTTTTCACCCTGTATATTAACTTGAAAAAATTTCCTTCTATATTGCTGCTATCCCCGATGTACACTGATTTTTACATTTAGTTATGTTGAGGTTCTCAAAACGGTGTACAATAATGATACAAACGAGAAAAACTAGCCTAATCCTAGTTTGACATCTCATGTACAGATTGTGATTTTTCTTCAATAATATCATTCGAATGTCAAGTGTTAATGAGGTATTACTAGATACATGATGATAGTACGTACTTTCTAGATCTGAATACAGTTGACTCCCCATTGTGAATTTTGATTTAAACAAACATATTCCGACTACTCACATTTATATTAGAGAATCCACGAACATTTGATATGAGTGATAAATAGAGATTCATAGTGGATCAGTATAGTGTCTCGTTCAGATACCTCAAGTTATTGATTTATTTCTGATAATTGGAATTTAAAAATTATCAATTTACATAGAAAGCACCAAAAGCACAATGAATTGAATTTTGTATAAAATGCCAGTAATTGGATTTAGCTTTTTTTCTCAGGTGATCTATATGTTTAGTCCACGATAATTGTTCATCAATATAAGACCTAAGAATTTTGTAACATCTAAATATTTTATGGCTTTCTGGTCGAAAAATATTGTTGTTTTCGACATATCAGTATTTCTTTTTGAAATATACATATACGTAGTTTTGTCATAGTTAAGAGTCAGCTTATGAATTTGTAGCCAAGATGATATCATTTTCGAGTCACTTTTTATATCATCAACTATATCGTTGAATTCTTTAGATGAATAGATTATTGTGGTATCATCTGCAAATAACTTCAGATCTCCTTTTAGTTTCAAAGATGATATTGAATTGATTTAAATTAAGAATAAAAGTGGTAATGACTTCTGATTTTCAAATAGATCACCTTGAATATCATTGTATTTTCGAATTTTTTTTGCCTATGAACAATGGGGTACACGACAATAGTCATTGATGTTTTTAAACGTTTATAAAAGTTCTCAAACAAAATTATACACAATTTAAACACAAATACTTATACAAAACTCACAAATTGATGTAGACAAAGCAATCAACGTTAGTTATATTACACAACTGTAGATGGCGTTTTGCTTGTCTACGTTAGCCTTATTTGTCAAATAATTTACGAACAAATATGATGAATGCATTCTTCTCTCTCATAGCTGCCGAACATAATTCATCAAGTAACATGTTATGCAACAAATCATTAATTAATTACCTTTGCCTTTCCCAAATACAAGTGCATCTTCTGACTAGATGTCGGCAATGCTTCCAGGCTGTACGACCGCATCCTGTCCATCTCCAGCTGGAACGCGCACGCAGGCTCCAAGTGCCTATAAATCCTGTCCTCCTCAAAGTTGTCTCGCGCCCTGTAAGTAGGAATGCCGATTCAGAAATCGATCTTTCAGAGGTAGATATTTTTCGCTCAAAAAAATCGATTATTTATTAAATCGTTCTGGAATAGAATTTTCAGGAACTTGCGAATCATTGAATCGAAGATCGACCAAAAATTTCCGATATTTGAGTGGACTCTGTATTTCCTTAGGCTTGATTCAAATCGCATAGAATATATAAAGCTTTTTTAGATAGGAGAAAGCAACTGATACTGATTCCATGCTGATATGATGATAATAGCCGGCCGGCTGGGGTGATCCTTATCAGAATACGATGTAAGGCAGAAAAAATATGATGATGATTGGGGTCCCTTGATGTGAATTGACGTATTTGTCATCTTAACAGGGTACGGACGGATCCTTGTCTCCTCTCGCTCTAAAGTGTTTGTGAAACAGTTATGTAGTTCCATCTTTATTCATTTCTGGGAATAAACACTAGATTTCTGACGTTTGTTGTTTTTTAGGTTATATTGAGGCCATTGGCGTATTATACGTAATTTCCACATGTAATTTCTCATTCAACTCTACATATATCCGAATGATGATGATAATTGTCGAGTTTTTGATTTTTCAACTCCAGCATAATCTTTGTGAGACAGACATTTTTCTAAAAGTTTAATAAGTTTTACCAGATGGGGCTGTTCTTAGGCAGTATCTATCAATAAATTTTGATTGCAGACTAAGCCTTATGGTTGAGAAATGGTGAAAAATTTAATGTAGGTATTCAAACTAATGTGCTCATATTATGTCATGTGTGCTGTATATATTCATGTTGGGAATCATTTTTGCAGTTTTTCACAAACACTTAATACTTCCTGAATGTAGGTATAATTTTTTAATTGGTAGGGCATATGCCTTTTCTTTCAATCCTCCGTTTTAATCAAAACTGTTTCTACTAAAATGCATTCAAAACCTTGTGGAGTGGATAATTATAGGAACAATGAGAAAGTATAAAATGTTATTTCGTATTAGTTTTATTTTGCTGATGTATTAACCATTTTACCCCATTCGATCACTTCACTTTGTGTTCACCATATTCTAAGTTCATTTGCATTCGACGGAAAGCTGACAAATTCAAATTTGCCATCCAACTGATTGATACAGCCTAACGCAGCACATTTTAAGATCCTTCCAAAACAGAATTGAATATCGTATCAAAATAAACTATGAAATAACAGTTTGGAAGATCTCTTTTAACGCCTATGAATGTGACGTGACAGCAATGTCATGTCAGGGACGCCAATACACGAAACCAGAGTTACTAGATGATTAAAAGAGAAAGGATATATGATCTGTCCGTACCCTGTTAGATGACAAATACGTCATTTTGCATCAAGGGACCCTAAGATACACTAGTAAGGAGTTATAACGACGATAAGTATGGTGATAGCAAATCGAATGAGGCAGGAATATTGTCCTGCTGCGACACCAATTAGCATGCTTGATAAATGGAGTGAGGTGCTTTCTTAGCGCAAAAAATTATTCATACTTGAATAAATTGTTCTATACAATTTTACCCAAGCCAATAATAAAGATTTACTTGAACACATGTAGTCAGAAAAAAATCACAAATATTGTTTATCTACACAAATATCCTAGAGCAAAGATTTGATTGTGAAGAGGTTTCAATAAGGCTAACTCTTCGTTATGGTTTGCCAGAGTCACTCAATATTAAAGTAATTTTTTCATCTATTCGACATCCTCAGGCCAATCCTGTGGAAAGGGTCATGAGAGAGCTCGGAAGGTTATGTAGGACATACTGTCATGAACAACAGCAGCGGTGGGCAATTGAATTACCGAATTTCACATCATTTTTAAATAACGTGGTGCATGAATCGACAGGGTTCTGCCCAAACGAATTACAGTTCGATGCCAAACCAATAAGTCTATTGCCGCCAAAATTTCGTGGTCCCTCGACCGATACCTATTGATCATGCACAGAAGTTGATATTGGCTAAAGAAACCCTGATGAATAAGGCTGCCCGTCGTGCAGTACAACGACCGTCAGTTCGACCCTATCAATTCAATTTAGGTGATCTGGTGTTATTGAAATCGAATCCGAGTTCATCTGCTCTCCGAGCAGAGACCAAGAAGTTTTTATTACTATTCGAGGGGCCCTATAGAATAAAAAAACAAGTAGCTCCAGCTACATATATTTTAGAAGATCCTATGACCAACCGAGAGCGAGGATTGTTTCATGCTAGTCATTTGAAGGGATTTTATTCAGTTGACCAACTAGCAATACTACCATAATATATTACAAGTTTTAGGAGGGGGCAAGTTGTAGCATAACCACGTTTCCCTAATTATTCAGGAACCTACGGTATTAAATAAATGAGTGAGATCTAGAAGCTCTGTATTGTGTGTCATTGATCATCATTTGTATATGAAATAGCTTTTTGGGCTAGTTATTGTGAGATTGTCTTCTGAGATCATCTACCTTTAAACCCTGGTATTTCAGAGAAGTTGTTCTTAGATGTTAATGTAATTGTTAATCTATTCAGAATGGTATAATATCGGAATTTACGAGTGATATGATATTTCTTCAAATTAGTTGACATTTGTCTAGTCCAATTTTTTTTTTTTCTTTTTTTTTTATACAAATATTATTCTTTGTTTGCCAATTTACAGTTGTTGATATAATTATTTTGAATGATGCTATGTTTACCTATAGGTATATAATTATGTACTTCCTTATACCAGAGCCTATTCTGTCTGGAAGTTATTTGTTCAATAAATAAATAAAATAAAAATAAATAAATAAATAAATAGATATATTTCAGATACGAACTGATTTTCAATGACACACAATACAGAGCTTCTAGATCTCACTCATTTATTTAATACCGTAGGTTCCTGAATTAGGGAAACGTGGTTATGCTACAATTGTTTGTATTGAATAGGCTCCGAAACTACTGAACCGATTTGAATAATTCTTTAACAATTAGAAGCTGACATTATCAGTGATGAACATATGCTACTTTTTACTGCGAAAAAATGCCTCATTCCTACGGGAAACAACGAGTAGTAAGAATTGTTCTTCCGTACTTATCTTTTTCACATAGCTTCTAGACGGCCGAACCGATTGGGTTGAAATTTTATATGGGTATTTCGAGGGTCTTCTGAATGATTTTAAATGGACGCGGTAGGTGGCGCTGCTGTCCGTACGTCAACTACTAAACGACTTGACCGATTGGGTTGATATTTTCAATAGGTAAAACAACAACAGAAATATACAAAAGATACTGAGAAAATGAATATAGGTGTAAGTATATAATAGTAGCTATAGGCAATGTCTCATTTTTTTAAAATGTGTACACCAACCGTACGAAGCCGAGCCGGACAGCTAGTAGTTTATTAGCAAGGAGTGATGAACGGTACAAATTAGTAAATCATTGATGAATATGTTGTGTTAGTATTTCAATCTGATCATTTCTTGTACTTCTATTATTCAGATCTCAATTTTTTTATATTTCTTCGTGACTGGAAACACATAATAATTTTGTTCTTTATGTCCCTTTGTTATTGATGAGACATAATTTATTTTTATATTTTTTACTGAATTCTTATATTTTTTCTGGGAGAAAACAATGATATTTTTGGCAAATATTTGTCGCGGTTTGTGATGTGAATCGATTTTTGAGAATCGATTAATTTTTACCATCGATTCTTCAGGCTTCCGATTCGAATCGATTCAAAAATCGTTTCTTATTATGAAAAAATCGGCACCCTCACCTGTAAGTGAAGAACTTCGGCGTCTGCTTGTGTTTCAGCGGAATGAACGTGATGCGTCGGATTTTTCGTGCCGCCAGCTCGTCTTTGTACTTGGCGCAAAACGCCGCGAAGATTTTGCCCATGGCCGAGTCCTCTTTGTCGCCTTCGTCTTTTATCGCTACCATGAGGATGTGGATGGGTTCTTGTACAATGTATTCGTCCAGGCTCGCTCTGAAACGATAAAGTTCAATACAGTGTTTGGGATCACACGTTGAAAGGTAAGCCCCTCCGTCATTCCTTGCTCGCACAAGTCTCTTGAAGACTTCTGAGGGGGCAATCGAATATACACGGGTGTCAACGATATCTATTAGACAAACCATAATTTCTAGAATATTGGCTGTATCAAAATGAAATCCAATAAGTTTATATGGTATGTGAATATTCATAATAATTTGAAAAATTTTGAAATTCAGAGATAATTCTCGATCAGAATATGACATTCTCAGAAGTTTTCACTTTATTTTCTTAGAGTCACTTTAATATTGCTTCTAGCTGGTCATGATCTGACATAAACTTATCTAAGGACATCAGGTGATGTCAGGAAATTCTAATCGTAAAGTTTTAGTGACTAGTATGATAGATAGGAAGAAGACAAGTTGAAAAAATTACAATTCCGTGCATATATTATACATTCAACTATGGTCTAGAAAATGCTTGAAAATTTGAAAATAAATATTTCCAGACTTCAACTTCTAAGTTTAACCGATAGATGAACTAATAGGTAGATTCCTTATTATTCCATTTTATTATTATTTCCTTTGTTCCAAGTTCTTCTGCAGTGCCAAAGCCGTATCAACGTTATCGAAAACATTTTGAAATTATCTCAATTCACTTATTAATTACCTATGAAATAATAGAAACGATTAGGTATTAGAAAATTGCTACTATGTATAATTTATAACATCAAATATGTCATTTTTATATACTTTTTATTTTGTGTTGCCAGTAACCATATAAAATAGAATATAACGATATTACATTTATTCATCGAATATGAAATGTTACTGTACTTCATACACAATGTTGCAATAACTTTGCTGGAATAATTCATATGAGAACATCACATTCATAATATTACTGATCGTTCGTTTCAGTAACTGCAGCGACCTCACAGTAAGGTGGCGACAATCGCTGATGTAACATTACACATTACATTGAAATACTGTTGCAATATTGTTGAAACATTACTTTGCTTAGCAAGTAAATACGCTATCAAACGGCGAAAGTAGAATGAGCACATTAATAATTTTTATCATTTTTAATAATACATTCAATGTACCTGAACTTCTTTTCGACATACATGCACAAAGTCATCTCCACAATTCTAATGTGTAAAATTGTGGAGATTACTCTGAACTTTCCTTCTTCCCTTTGAGCAAACATTACTTCTACCAGGGATTAATTTTGTATGTTCCTAACGTTATTCTCAGAAATAGAAACCGTGTCTTCCTAATAGATACCGATTCAGATTCTCCTAAAAATCGTTGCCTTATGCAAGTGAATATTCTATTGGAAAAATATCTGAATTTACATTTTTTAAATTGCAGGGAGAGAAAAATAGAGCAACTGATAATGCTGTGACCCAACTGTGATATACTCAGTGATATACTAGTAGTTATGTATATTTTTTTGTGAATTTTGCAATGTATACATGTCATTGAATTCAACTTGTTTGAAATGCAATATAAATAAACTATCTATCGTTTATCCACAAACAATTGCAGAAACTCGTGCCGCACCTGCAGTCACTTCAAAGGAAACTTCAAACACGCCGATGTTGGATATACTATACCTATGTACCTATAAAGAGATCAAAAATAGAAATGGGGCACATGGCAATTTACAGCCTCTGAGAATTCTGTGAAACGGTCTGAACGTTTGATGGGAATGAGAAATTATCTTACTAGAGTTGTATTTGACATTTTTGCTTCGACGTTTCCGTAAGGCTACGGACACTTGACAAGTAGTGACATATATTTTGCCACAAGGACTGAATATATTTTTCGCTGAGATGAAGGCTTATCGTATCTTCATCCCTCTTCATTTTCAGGAAATAGTACATCTATAAATTATCCTGCTTTACATTTTTAAATGAGAGCATGACGTCTTCTCGAGTGGAAAAGAGGGTATGATGAATTAAATAGGTAGGGATACAAATATCATATTATCGAAATAAATAGAGACATTCGTCTCGTTCACACGGATACAAATTTTGAATTTTAATACTGTCTGTTGGTTAATCGAGGAAGTGGTACATTCATATTCTTATTTTATAGAAAGGAGGAGAGAAAATCTCAAAAAATCTGAAAAAATTATTGAATTTTAATGTTCAGATGATGAAGAGTTTTATTAAATACCGGGTTGAGAATTCATGTTTGAAATTCCTCTATTCAAAAGTTCGCAACGATGGTAATTCGTATTGAAATTTCCCAATAAAGTTCATAACCAGATGAACATATTTTCAGCTCTAGTGAAAGATTTTTTCTTCTGTTCACAAACTTATATAGATTTCTAATGTTCCTTTGAGCCGTAAATACCTATTTAGCTTCTACAATATCAACTTGAGTCAAAACTGCAAAAAAACATTTGTATGGCCATGGATACAACATGGAAACAAAACAAGAGTCTCGGGTTCTGTCGGGTTCTTTTATCAAAATGGGTTATTCCGTAGAAGGAAAATATGAAATAGTAAGATTTTATTATGAGAATAATGCAAACATTTCAGTACTGTAGCAAGAATTTAGTCGGAAACAGCTTAAGGGGACGCTAGCAAACTATATAATATATTTGTGAACAGAAAACAAATATCTTTCACTGGAGCTGAAAATATACAGGATGTTTCATTTAGAAAAATCTGATTTGGACCCTTGTTTTTCATTTCGCGATTCGCATCTGTTTGTTTGAGGAGTGCAAAAAGATAGTGCAGATGAAACCCTACAACTTTCATAGTTTTCCACCTCGTATAGTAGAAGCTGTAGATAGGGGTCAAAATATAAGGCCGCTGTACATTTCATCACCAATCATCACGCTTTTTCCAAACTCTTTGCATTCCGTATCTATTACCATTGAATTTAACATTTCCAGATATATCATGCTCATAAATAGCAAATTTACTCTCTTAAAAATTGTGGGTCAAACTCAAAATTGCCTGCATTGCTGCATTTTCAGGTTTCTTGCATTCTTCTGAAGATATGTTGATTTTGTTTAAAATTTGAAATAAATTGTAGGTGATAGTTGTGAATTTTGCAAACTCTAATTTTGGTATCTTGATCTTTTTGTTTCAATTTATTATCTAAGTTTCTGGTTTTTCTTATCTTCCCTTCCACTTCTCTCTCTTTCACTAAGACCTTGATTTTTTGAATAGTTCTACTCAAAATTTTCGATTATCAAGTCTTTTTCATTAAAATTTTGTCTGGAATGAATTTCATTTTCGTTACATTTTTGCTCTAAATCGGTTGCTCGAAGTGCACCTAATAGAAATGTGATGAATAATATTCCATGTTTGACAACAAAATTTGAAAACCTCGCAAATTTAGTTGGCTGGCAACACCGACCGCTTCATATTTCTGTCAAATTCTGTAACAGTGTTCTATATGATGAAAATTCGAAAAAAGTAGATCGATTACCGGTATTTTTACAGTTATTAAGAGCACAAACTTGTACCTATCCTATTATTTTTTTAGTTTTTTAGTTACCACTTTTTTTCATGTATTTAATTATGGTTATATCTGACTCAGTGCTTGTCAGTGTCCATACAATGATGGGAATAAGTAGGTGGTGCGCGTACTCGGCTATTTTTACGTATTGAAAAATCACTCGACTGCCTAATATGATTGTTCTACGTCACACCGAGCGAGACGTTAAATACACTTTTTGCCACTATTGCAGCTGTGACGAGTGTGACGATTGAAAATAAAAAGGCATTAGGCATATCAGGTAGGCGGAACATATGTAAAGGGAGTTTATTTCACTCGAAATTCGAAAAAACTGCGGCAATTTCAAAATTGATGGACGTCAGAAGAATTTCTGAAACAAAAGCGCATCAGTTTATTTCCATCATTGTCCATACCCTAAATATATAAAAATATCATAACAAGTGTTGAATATAAATTAAGAAACTCAATTCCTTACCAGATTCTGATGTATCATATTGATGTTTTTGCATTACTTTCACTGATCAACAAAGTTACTCCATGATAGATTGGTCAGAACGAATTATTCCACCTCCAATTACGGACTGATGGAATGACGTACACTTCTATATTTTTTTTACCTCTACTTCAGGATATCTTTTTCCCTATTGATGTAAATGTCCACGTCAAGTTTCGAATATGAAGTAACAACTGAAGCCTATCCATAACTGGTATCTGCAGATTTTCAAAAAAATAGACGAAAGTATTTAGTACTATCTAGCAAAATTTGGGGAAATTTGACATTGACATCGACCACCAGCTCCAGTAGCGTCGACTGGTGAGACTGAAAATGTTCGACTTCATTGTAACAATATTGCGAATAAATTTACGGTACTGCAGATTTGATAATTATTTCAAAATGATTAGGGTTATTCTGGGTATTCTTATTTCTCATCGTAAGACAACAAAAACGGGTGCCTATATTGAAATAATACTAATATCTATATTTATAGACGAAAATAGAAGATTTTGACTTGAATATACTGTTATTTACTCACCTTCTAGCTTCTAGTGACAAACTGACATTGATTGAAGTGCTGTTGCCCCTAGACTCGGATCCACTCTCGACAGCATTCAGATCTTTGGCAGATATGGCAGCAGGACTTGCAAAGTCCTCAATCAAATCGAAAATCTCATCAGCATCCTGTTCGAATTGCTGGAAATTTTCGAAAGCCGCCATGCATCCTGTCCTCTGGAATGTGTCGATAATTTTTGGTTGTTCAATGATTGGCTCTAAAAAAGAACTGAAATTGAATAAGAATCAAGAATGATTTTTCTCTAACACTATTTTATAAATTTAATATTACACAACGTCAAATTGTATCGGAACAAACGCGATTATGATCATGTATGTCAGAATGAATTTAATGCTGCTGCCGACCGATAACAAACTACTTGACGTCTTGCTGTGTCGAAATTAAAACAGCTTGAATTCTTTCAAACTCTTAACTGTTTTTCTAGTCGTCTTATTGTTTTTGAATCCTCGTTGGAGGAAGTATAGTCTAAATCTAAAACACGTTTAGAATGGCTTATTGTTTCAAACTATCCAACCAAACTTATCACTCATTTGGAATATAGGCCATTCCAATATTCGCAGAATATAACTGTGAATTTTGGTTGCAGATTTTGGAGCATTCAACTCCTACAAACAAATAAAGAAGAAGAGCAAGACACCTATTTCAGATTAAATTCATATTATTGAGGTCAGGGCATTGTCCGAGCTTCTCAGGTTGGCTAAGAGTTGTTCGATTGCTGAAGTGCCCCTCAAGCACGTACAACTGCAGTGAAGTAGCATATCATAGCTCGCAGGTACTAATTAATGAGCACTAGATATAGCATATTCGATAAATATAATGTTTTTATCGATTCAATATTGGATATATTTTGAATATGTCTTTCCACAAATCCAAGCATTCTCAAGGCCTCAATGAAAATACTATTTATGTGGTGATTGAAACTAAGGGCTTTGTGAAACACAACACCTAAATCACTTAAATAATCAACAGACTGCAAATTTACATTATGGTTATGGTTCATCATCATTCGTTTAACACGGAAAACTATACTTATGTAAGTGAAAATATTATTTTTCTTTGTATGTGACCCTATACGGTTAGTCACCTTAACAATGTTCAGTAGCTGTTTCGGAAAAAAGTAATAATAATAAAAACAACCACACAAAGAGAAGAAATGGGGTTGTATACACTAGTCGAATTTACGCCAAATACCTATTTTATATCGATCATTCCGTGTATAAATAGTATTTGATGCAATAATTCATCATTCAAAATCATCGCAAAGTGAACATCTGAAAACTGTCAAAATAAAAACCCAATTCGGGAAAAAATCATTGTATTTTTGTGGAATAAATATTTATAATAGTCTACCCAACAGAATAATGAATGTTATTATTATTATTATTGGCTGTCACCATCGTCAAATCCTTGTTTCATCTTGTCAAGATGCGAATATTCGAAGATAATCCTCATAATCTGATACATTAGTTGTGTGTTGTGTTCTCTGTTATCTGCAGTAAGTATTCAATCCATAAAATTCATTCCATATTCTGATTGAAATAACAATCAGAAATATTCTTGCACTTGTCTATCAGTAATAGAGATACGTAAGTCGAATCATATATGGAGTTCTCGGATGATTACGTCACGCGTTTTTCATTTTATGAACATACAATATGGGAATACAACCTTGCAATACTCTCGAGTTATTAAGTACCTTGGTCTTTACATTGATGAAACTTTGTCCTGGAAGCCCATTTAGACAGACTGAGATCTAAGATTGCAGCTCCGATAGGTATTGTTACAGATATTATCACCCTGTATTTTGTTTTTGCTTTGGGATCAAGGAGTTTAGTGACAAGAGAGACAGGAAAAAATGTTATAACCAGACGTATTGTAATATTTTCATCTGCAATACAGTTTTTCGTTTATGAGTCATTATTTAATTCAGTCTAATTCTATAAGACACTTATCAGCCATTTATAAGCCAAACATTGGTGCCGAAACCAGGGAACAGCAGGGAATAACCGAAAAATCCAAAATAATTATTTTGACATTAATTTCTGTAATTGTGTCAGAAGGAAATATACAGAAAGATGGATAATACATCTAAGAAATCGCCGTCTGTGAGTGATTTCAGAGGATTCGAAAGATCAGGAAACTCTAAAGGTTTAGAGGAAAAATCTATAGCAGCATCAATTTTGAAGAAATCAAGTCAGTCAAAGTGCATAGATTGCGTGTCTAAATCGAGCAGAAGTAGTAAGAAAGAAAAAGCAAGAATTGAACTAGAATTACTTGAAAAAAATCTACAACTACACCTTTTCCAGATGTATTTCAGAAAGTGTCAATTCAATTTCAGAAAGCATCAATTGTATTTCAGAATAGTCAGTTGTATTTCAGAAAGCATCAATTGTATTTCAGAATTGTCAATTCAATTTCAGAAAGCGTCAATTGTATTTCAGAATAGTCAATTCAATTTCAGAAAGCATCAATTGTATTTCAGAATAGTCAATTTAATTTCAGAAAAGGTCAATTGCATTTCAGAATAGTCACTTGTATTTCAGAAAGAGTCAATTGTATTTCAGAAAATATCATTTGAATTTCAGAAAGCGTCAATTGAATTTCAGAAAGCGTCAATTGAATTTCAGAATGCATCAAGATCGATTAGTTAGTAGGAAGTGCACTCCATGTAAGAATGCATAGGATGTTCTGTGCTTCCTGTAGTGATGTTTTCATTTTATTCACCCAAAATTTTTTTTATGTACCTTTTAGGTACCTATAATTATACTATTTGATGAACAGATCACAGAATTTCAGGTATAGACGGGACAATCAGAGATAAACTTCTTTCTATTGCTATAAAAAAGTTCTGATTTTTACATGTTTGTCCAATCGGAAGTGACTAGCTGTTTGAATGATACTGTAGAATAGGCTCCTTAAGAACATTTACAAAATCAAGCTCTGTTGCTATGTCGTAAATGTCATAATATTCTCACGACTTATGAAGTTGCCTGGCAGGAGAACACCCCGTGAAAAGTGTCTGGCAATTGTATATTCTCTATCATGATAGGATCCGATTGAACATAAAAGATCAGCTTTTGTTGAAATGATGTTTATCCAGTTTTTTTTGTACTTTCAACACCCGGTATCTCTTGAAAGCTCATCCAGTACTGAAGATTTTCAACCCACAAAACGATTCCACCGAATAAGATATACCACACATAGAAAATATCAACCTTGTTGAAATGGCGTCTGGCGGTCGCTGGCTTTCAGTCTATAGAGAAAGATTTCTGAAATTCAATTGACGCTTTCTGAAATTCAAATGATACTTTCTGAAATACAATTGACACTTTCTGAAATTCAATTGACTATTCTGAAATACAATTGATGCTTTCTGAAATCGAATTGATTATTCTGAAATACAATTGACGCTTTCTGAAATTGAATTGACTATTCTGAAATACAATTGATGCTTTCTGAAATACAAGTGACTATTCTGAAATTCATATGACGGTTTCTGAAATTGAATTGACTATTCTGAAATACAATTGACGCTTTCTGAAATACAAGTGACTATTCTGAAATTAAATTGACGCTTTCTGAAATACATCTGGAAAAGGTGTAGAACAAGACAAACTGAAGTTAGAACAGGAGATCATACAAAAGAAATTGAGTCTCCTGAAGATTAATAGTGAATGTTCAATTTCTGAAATGAATGAAGAAGGCAAGTCTCATTATTCACAAACATCAGCAGATATTCAGAAATGGATAGATGATATTCCATCAAATTTGAATGAAAAGCAGATAGTAGAAAAATCAGCAAGTTCTGGAAACAATTCTTTGGATGTGCAGAAAATCTTATTCCGACAGTCATCGGCTTCTAAAGAATTACCTTTATTTAGTGGAGATCCTATGGAGTGGCCAAGCTTCATAATGTATTTTCAGGAAACTACAGAAACATGTGGGTTTTCCAAACGAGAAAATATGTGCAGATTACAAAAATCATTGAAAGGGAAAGCAAGAGAAAGTGTCCAGTATTTATTGCATTTTCCTGAACAGCTGGAGAAAGTTTTGAGCATATTGGAAAGAAGATTTGGAAGGCCAGAACATATTATTGAAGAAATTATAGAAAAAATTAAGCATATGCCTTACATAAAAGAATATAATTTTGAATCTTTGATTGATTACACTAACAAAATTTTAAATTTAGTGGCCACAATTGAAAGCTTAGATTCCATGGGACATTTAATGAATAGTCAACTTCTTAGTGAGTTTGTCAATAAGTTACCTCCAAACCTTAAACTACAATGGGGCATGCATAGGAATACCCAAAATGTTGCTGATTTGAAATCATTCTCGCTATGGTTGGAAGAAATTGCGAATGGAGCAAGTTTTGTGTCAAGATCGAAATTTTATGGTGATAAGGCAGCAAATTTCAGACAAACAAGCTTAGTAACTTCTGATAATACCTTCAAGGACTGCATTTACTGCAAAAATAAGAAGTTTAAGCATTCGATCACAAAATGCAATTTTTTTTCCGATATTTCTGTGGATGATCGATGGAATTGGGTGAAAACAAACAAAATCTGTTTTGCATGTCTGAGGCAAAATCACCAGATACAATTTTGCAAACAGAAACGTGAATGTGGAGAAAAAGGGTGTAAGAAATTTCATCATTCCTTATTGCACACAAGTAATCCAACCGATTTTGAAGTACAAGAGAAGGAAAAACCTATGGAGGAAAAATCAGTAAAAGGAGAATTAGCTACTACAAGTCATGGTACAAGAGGCCAAAATCAAGATATGAAATTTAATGCTACACAGTGGACCAATAAGGAGGTTTTATTGAGAATTGTTCCGGTTGTTTTAACAGGGCCTAGTGGAAATCAAGTAGAGACTCATGCACTTCTGGATGAAGCATCTACAGTAACCTTACTAGATGCAGATATTGCTGTGAGGTTGGAATTAAATGGACCTATGAAGCCATTACACCTACAGTGGACAAATAACCTTTCCAACTATATGGATGAATCACAAGTAGTCTCAGTAAATATAGCGGGCGTTTCCACAGGATGTAAAAGTTTTATCATGCATCAAGTTCGAACAGTTAAAGATCTTTCTCTGCCGTCACAAACAGTTGACATTGAAAAACTCTCTGAAAAATGGCCCTACATAAGAAATGTCCCGCTAAAATCTATGATGAATGCTACACCTACT